AGGAGAGGAGGAAGGAAGGGAGAAGGGAGGGAGGGAAAAAGGAAAGGGAAAGGAGAGGGTGGAAGGGAGAGAAAGAGAAGGAAAGAGGGTAGGAAGGGGAAGAGTAGGAGTAGGAGAGAGGTAAGGGAAGGAGGAAGGGGAAGGAGAGGAGGAAGAAAGGAAGGAAGTAGAGAAGAAAGGGAGGGAGAAAAGAAAGGGAAAATAAGGTGGTGTTACAGCAGGTGGGAGGGATGGTAAATAAAGCAATCCAAATTGTATATTATAACCTTTTAAATGGAATGACAAATGTAAAGAAGAAGAATAACTATGCGAATGTATACCTATAATTGTATGTAAGAAAATAAAAATAAAAAACTCCCCCCCCCCCCAAAGAAGAGAGAGAGGTAGTTTGAGACTTCTGTCCAGTTAAATTGCACCCATGACCAGACAAAGCTCTTTATTTTTATTTTTTTTAAAAAAGCAGGGAAATTGTTCCAGGCCCCATATTTAAACTATGGAAACTTAATTTACAGGAAATGACAGCGCCGAGACCATTCCGGCTGATCTCGAAAATTAAAATACAAAGGTCAAAAATTAAAATACAAACGTCAGGCTGGTTTGGACTTGGAGAAGGGACCACAAGGAGATCTTAGAGAAAAGTAGGCAGGATGGAGAAATTCCCCCTTGAAAAACAAAACAAAACAAAGGAAATACTTCTGATATCATGGAAAAGTATCTGAGTGTAATTTTATAGTATTTTGCTTGTTTCAAAGAATCTATCCGTTTCTTCAAGCTTGCCAATAAAAGCAGACAGTGCAAATATAACATAATATAACAACAATACTGGTGAAGTCTATAATTTATTATTTCCTCAGACCTTCCTGCTTACTGAGCAAGGGGTCTCCGCACAGCGGGGGTCAAAAAAGTCAAGATGGCGGCCGCAAAGGTATCATCGTAACTCCACCGGCTTTTCTGTGCAATTCATAAAAATCCGGCAGGGCTGAAATCACCTCAGAATGGCCTCCATTTTGACTTTTTTGACCTCTGGCACCCCTGGGATTGAGCCCCTGACTCCAACAAAGAACCCAATGGAAGGAAACTCCACAAATCCAGAACAGTGTGAGGAGGAAGTGGTGGATGGTAGCCACACAGCCACTTGTGGTTGTGCCCCCCCCCACACACATCAAATGTGGCCAAGCTTTCATTTGTAGGGTGGCAGCCGCCATCTTGGCATTTTTGACTGCCCCCTTACAATCTTAGGATGACTCTAAGCGAGCGACGTCTTCCTTCATTTATCATCTCTTCTCATTTTAACAGAATAACAGAATATAACATAATTCCCTCATTCTGTGACGCACAACTGGCTAGGGAATTCTGGGAGTTGAAGTCCACCCATCTGAACAGAAAAACAGAGTTGGAAGGGACCTTGGAGGTCTTCTAGTCCAACCCCCTCCTAGAGCAATAAACCCTATACCATTTCAGGCCAATGGTTCTCCAATCTCTTCTTTAAAAGTTCTTAAATTCTATAAGAAGAGCCTCAAAGTTCTTAAATTCTTTAAGAAGAGCCTCAAAGTTCTTCAATTCTTTAAAAAGAACCTCAAAGTTCTTCAATTCTTTAAGAAGAGCCTCAAAGTTCTTAAATTCTTTAAGAAGAGCCTCAAAGTTCTAAAATTCTTTAAAAAGAACCTCAAAGTTCTTAAATTCTTTAAGAAGAACTTCAAAGTTCTTCAATTCTATAAGAAGAGCCTCAAAGTTCTTCAATTCTTTAAGAAGAGCCTCAAAGTTCTAAAATTCTTTAAAAAGAACCTCAAAGTTCTTAAATTCTTTAAGAAGAACCTCAAGATTCTTCTTTGTAAGTTGCCAAGGTTGGGAAGCCCAGTTGTAGATCCATAAGGAAGTATCTTGGCCCCATGTTCTCCCTTAATCTGTAATAACGTATCTTCACCAATGTTCTCCCTAGATGACCACTTGGACGTGAGAATGAGTCACAAACATGTCATCTGAACTTTCACAGCCTTTTGAAAACTCCCTGGTGGAATCGAATCGCCCCTTTGGCTCCAGGGTGTTGTCCAATGTCCATTAGATGGAAACACAACCGTGCAAGGCCTCCCTCGGCCTACACCTTGTAATGGCGGCCAAATAAGTTCCTCCGATAACAACAAAGCAAGCCGACTCCGACGACGATCAGCGAGAGAACCAGCAGAGTCGCCAACAAAATCAAAATGCTCGTTTTCTTGAGGTCCTCCCTCTCACAGTCTTCCGGCCGGACGTGGCTCACGTTGACCTCTTCCTCCTCAAACCCCAAACTCCGGGCGAACTGACACTTGACCAGGTCTAGATCGGGGATCTCCACCACGGCTTTATGGATCATTTGAGAGAGCCAGACATTCCCACAACAACTCAGTGGATTCCCTACCAGGTAGAGATTCCGTAGGTTTTTCTCCAGAGCTGGAATCTGGCTGTTTTTCAAGCTGTTGAAGCTGTTGTTGTGAAGATCCAAGACTTCGAGGACGCAACAGCCTTCCGACCAAGCGGGCAACCAGCTAAGCCGATTGTCCGACAGATTGAGATATCTGAGGTGAGGGAAAAGAGAGAAATCCACATTCAGGGTGGTGAGTCCGTTCCCGTGTAAATCCAGATATTCCAGCGAGAATTCCAACCCGACCAGCGATTGGGCTCCGATCTGAAGCCCCCAGTTCATGGAGACATCCAGTACCCTAAGCTTCGTCCCGAAGAAGTTGTACATGGGTAGGTCCTTCAAACGATTGGCCGAAAGATACAAATATTGAAGTTCGGGGACTCGCACGAATGAGACACAGCCGCGAGGGACGTTAGGGGACAACCGGTGCCTCCCTGCTACTGAATGCGTGTGACAGAGGTGGACCTTGTTGTGCCTCAGATCAAGCCGCTGGAGATGCGGAAGACCTTGGAAGATATCTGGACGCAGATCCTGAAGATGGTTGTCTTGGAGGTGCAACTCCTGCAAACCGCTCAAGGCGTTGGTGTCCAACAGAAGGTCCTTCAAAGAGTTGCAGCTAAGGTCAAGGACGGACAATGAGGCCAGCTCGTTGGTTACCCCAAAAGTCTGCAGGCAGTTTTTGCTCAAATTAAGGAATTGGAGGGACAACATGGAGTCAAAGAATTGGCTGGGGATGGATTGGATCTCATTGTAACTCAGGTCCAAGGATAACAGGGCAGGCAAGTAGGGAGGATGGGAATTGTTGGGATATTGAGGCCCATCTTCCCACTGGTAGTCGACGTCGTTACGGGAGTCCACCATCACAAACTGCACGATGTTGTTGGTTAGGTTCAAGTAAGTCAGCTTTTTTCCTTGAGGGAGAACAGGGAAGCGAAGGAGCTTGTTCTGACTCAGGTCAAGCCAGATCAAGTTGAAGTCCTCCTCCGACTGGGTGGAGTGGAAGGACTCGAGGCTGTTCCGACTGAGGTCGAGAAATTCCAACTGCCGGAGGTTGAACTCCACGATGCAAGTGAGGGAGTTCATGGAGAGATCCAGCTTGGAGAGACGTGTCAGGCTCTCAAACACGCCTTCTTCTATCTCCATAATCATGTTGTTGTGGAGGTTGACTTCCACCAGCTCTGGAGACCCTAGGAACATGCTGTGGGAGAGGTGTATGATGCTGTTTTCCGCCAAGGAAAGGTATCGCAACGAGGGCGCCTGGTGGATGAAATGTTCGGCCATCCCGCTGTAGAGACTGTTGCGAGACAGATCTAGTCTCCTCACGTGGGGTAGTAACCCAACCCACAGATCTTCCTGAGCCAAGAGATAGAGCCGATTGTTGGCCAAGTTGATGTCCTCCAAGTTCTTCATCTCCGCGAAGATCCCAGGTTTGACAAATCCGATCAGGTTGGAACTTAAGTCCAAGTGACGCAGGGAAGCGAAGAAGGTCAGGGGACTCTCGGTGACGTTTCGAATCTTATTTCCGGAGAGGTCGATTTTAGACACGTACGGGGGAAGGTCTGGAGGCACCTGGTGAAGATCCACGTTTCGACACAACGCCTCCAGGTTTCTCTGTAGGAAAGAAGAGAATGGGGAGCGGGAATCAAAATCGTGATGATATTCACACTGGCGAAGAACATTCGCAGATCAATTCTGTATAAACTTAAAAGAGTTTTATTCACAGGGCCTGAACTCACCGTGGGCTGTGTCTAAAATGGATGTTTTGCTAATTGGTCCCTCTGCATTGACAGGATAATGGAGTTGGAAGGGACCTTGGAGGTCTTCTAGTCCAACCCCCTGCTCAAGCAGGAAACCCTAGACCAGAGGTCGGCAAACCTAAAGACTCAAAGAGCCATTTGGAGCCGTTTCCCACAGAAAAGAAAACACCGGGAGTCACAAAGGTCCTAACCGGAAGCCCCCCGTTCAATTCTGGAGCTGACCGGAAGTTCAGTTCCCCCACCATAGAGTCTCTTCCTAGCGCGGTGAACTTTTTCCTCTACCTGTCCTAACCGAAAGCCCTATCAATTGTGGAGACAACTGGAAAACCCAATATAAATGATTAGCAATGATAATAATGCATATATAGGAGGAGAGCCTGTGGCTTAGTGGCTAATATATCTGCCTAATATGTAATACAGCCCAGGTTCAATTCCCAGTAAGGGTATGGCTAACTGATGAGAGCTAAATAGATTGAAATAGATCTATACTAGTCTCCCTTTATTTATTTATCAGCACAATTGCAACACAAATGTAACAAGGCAGCATAAAAAAATGGCTGTGGGGGTGATATGCTGACTCTGTAAACCGCTTAGAGAGGGCTGAAAGCCCCATGAAGCGGTATATAAGTCTAACTGCTATTGCTATAGGTCAATGGGGAAAGCGGGATTCATTTAACAACCGTGAGGTTCACTTAACAACCGCCGTGATTTGCTTAGCAAAGTGGGCAAGATAAGGTTGAGTGCGATTCGCTTAGCAACCCGCCGTACAAAGCGACTGAAATTCTGGTCCCCATTGCGGCGTACGTTGAGGACTACCCATGTTTCCCGCCTGGCACCAGATTGTCCTCTTGTCCAGCCGGAGGCTCCTTCTGAACTTCTCCTCTGTTTGTCCAGACGTCCCTTCCGCCTTGGCTTTTGTTCTTGGAGACCAATATAGCTCCTTGGGGGGGGGAAAGGGGGGAGAGGGGGCTCCAGTCTGTTAAGGGCATTCCCAGAGGGGAGCAGAAAGAATGCCGAAAGGAAACAGGATGTCTCCTGTTCACAGGGACGGCAGCTCCACAGGAAGTCTCCACTTAGGCGATGTTAGATATATATATGTGTGTCTGTGTGTGTGTGTGTGTGTCTGTCTGTCTGTCTGTCTGTCTGTCTCTCTGTTGATCTAACATAACTATTAACCCATCTATCATCTATATCATCTATCTCTCTGTCTGTCTATCTATCTATCATCTGTTTGTTTGTTTGTTTGTTTGCCTGTCTATCATCTATCCATCATCTGTCTGCCTGTCTGCCTGTCTGTCCGTCCGTCCGTCCATCCATCCATCCATCCATCCATCCATCCATCCATCCATCCATCCATCCATCCAATTAGCTAGCTATCTCTCTCTCTCTGTTTCTCTCTCTCTCTCTCTCTGTCTCTCTCTCTGATCTATCTATTACCCATCTGTCATCCTTGTTATCTATCTATCTGTTTGTCTATTATTTATCATCCATCTATCTTATCTATTGTATCTATCTATCTATCTATCTATCTATCTATCTATCTATCTATCTATCTATCTATCTATCTATCTA